GTTTAGGGCGTTGGGTTTAGGGCTTAGGGCTTAAGGTTTAGGGCTTAGGGCTTTGGGTTTAGGCCTTAGGGCTTTGGGTTCAGGGCTTAGGGCTTTGGGTTTAGCGCTTTGGGCTTTGGGTTTAGGGCCATCCCGAAGCCCTTGAAGACCCAAAACCATCCTAAACCCTCAAACCCAACGACGTTGCACAGGAAGTGGAGGAGTTGGACGCGACCCGCCTTTCTGCGGCCGTGGAATCTGCCAAGAAGAAGCAGTACCTCGCTGTCAGGGTTTAGGAGTTTGGGGTGTAGGGTCGGGGTTTGGGGGTTTGGAAGTTGGCACTAAGCATTTGAGGTTTGGGGTTCTGGTTTAGGGTGGGGTTTCGGATATAGGATTTAGGCGTTGGCGGCAGGGTCACAGTCACAGAGCGAGGACTGAGGATCCAAAGATTCAACCACCATTTCGCGAACTTCTTGAGGGATGTGGGCCCGCAGCCATCGGCCGTTCGCTGTGAAGACCCGTAATTGGTCCGGGTCAGTAGGAGAAGGTTCCAGGCGAGCAACCAAAGCTTCAGCAAGGAAACGTTCAAAACAGAACAAGCAACGATTTGACAAGGGTCCTCGCCCAACGCCCGCGGTATCAGACGTTCGACGTCGGGTCGGCTGGCCTGCTGCCTTGATGCCAAAACCGACACCCCCATGACCCGGTAACGAAATGCTGAGGAAGTTGGAAAGGAAGGAGGCGCGTGATGCTAGAGCCTCAGTGGTCGGTGCTTGTGCCAGACATACGGAGACAACGCAACATGCTGCGCAATCTTGAACCATCACGAGTTGATCTTTCCGAATTTGGTACGTGCCACATGACTGCGGTGATGACAGCTGCAATCTTCATCACCTGGACTTGTCGAGTCATTGTAGAGCACACAGTGTAGTCATACACATGTGATGAGTCGTGAGCCCGATGTTGCAGCAAATACAACTATGCCAGTAGGTACAGATATGCAAGTACAGTATAAGCAAACGGAGACCAGCATCACAAGTATGCTTGTATGCTCATGTGCATTACATGCTTACGTGCATGTGCACGTAAAGCGAGCAGAAAGCATGTTACACATGCACGTGTGTGTGTGTGTACATGTCACAATCTTCTGTCAGGGCAAGAGGGGCCTCACATTGGATGATGTTCCACCCTCAGCGAGTCGAAGATGATGGGGTGGTTAGGGCCCCTAGGGCCCTTGGGACGCAGAGGCTCCGACCTGAAAATGAACAGAAAGTGAATTCGACCAAGGAGCGAAATCGCGGCTACAACGCCGTCACAGGCGAGGGCCTGAACGACGAGATCAGCCCGGAGGAGTACGAGGTGCCTGCTGAATCTGAAGTTCTACAGCCTCTGCCGGATGTTTGAGGGCTTCGGAGCCTATACACTATAGTCACTATAGCCTAGGCTGCCTATATAGATGCGTGGTCCGTTGGCCAGGCCTACCGCCTGACGCGACAGCGGGCCGACGATCCCATGGCACAGTTCATGTGAGAGCTCGCGCTAGAAGCACCCGAGACTTCGAGAAGCGCCCCGAAAGGTCCCTACATCCCGGGCCCATGTTAATGAGACTCTGACCCGTGGCTGCCCCAATGGCGGCCAGCACAGTTCACCGCTGACATGTGGAGTACTGGTCTCTTGGGCAAAGTGCAAAGCCTGCATCACCGCCTCGCTCGCTGACGCACCTATTCTTTTGAGAAGGGGATGGACGGCAAGAGATCAGATCTCTCTGAAATATCTCTGGCTCAAGGGCTCCTGCCCTGCAAGCAGGCCTTCCGTATGTCGCAGCCCGGTCATGACTCCAGCCATCTTTTTCCTGTGCATTGGCTTCGTGGCCGCCCTGCATAATCACAGTGAGAGGATCAGCATCGCTCTGGGCCACGATGCTACTTTCATCCAGACGGGAGGTTCAGCACCAATGGTTGCAGGGAGCAACGCTTCCGCCAGGTTCTTCCGACCCCAGGATCCGAGTGTGAACATCACAGCTGCGGCTTTGGGCAGCAGTGAGAAGACGGCTGTCCTGCAAGAGAAGCCCACGGTCCCTTTGAGAAAGCTGGGCTTGATGTCCATTGCGGGGCTCGTTGCTGGCTACTGGATCACCGTGGTTGCCAGGGAGGGATCGTCGCCTTCCAAGGACGGTCCCGGCACGGGGGAAGACAGGAGCCTTTGGTCTGCAACGCCAGAAGCTCTGCCGTGGATGGTACTGTCCATGGTCCTCTCCATCTTCAACAAGTGGATTTTTATCCCGCATCCTGGCTGAATCATCGCAGGAGGCCCGAGAAAGCGCTCTTTCCTGTTCCGACTCTGGTGGGCAGAAGCCGAGATGCATGCCCAAAGCTGGCTGAGTGGGGGAGGGAGGGAGGCTGCGATACTGTTCAAGTTTGGTGAATACAAAAGGGCCCAAATCTACCGGACATGACAGGACTTTGCTTCGCTCGCTGCTTAGGTCGGGGGCCGACTTCCCCTATCCTCTCACGCTCTCCTGCTGCTGGTCAAAAGTTACTGTGGGGTGGGGCTCGTGATGTCGCTGTAGGCACAGCCACCAGACGCTTGATGTGTTTTGCTCCGGATAGTTCTGGGATGGCTTGGGCCTCTCCCAGGCTGCCACATGTTCACGACGAGCCTTGTACTCCACAGCTTGCGCCTCTTCAAGCCGAGCCTTTTCCCTGGCATGAGTGAAGGAAATCGGGGCTCCGGCTTCGCGCCGTTTCGTAAGAGGGCATGCTTTGAGTCGCGACAGAGACCAGAGATTTGTTCGATTGTTCATGCCCGGTGCCCTCCCGTCAAGACTTAGATATTGGTGTCCCGGACAAACGCGAAGTGCGAGAGAGAAGAAGACCATCGAAGACCCCTTTGGACAGGATTGCGAAGCGACTGGCAGATGTTTCGCGCCGTGGCTCTGGTAGGCCCCATGACTGAAGATGAACTGACAGAGTTGTGTACAGAATGTGGCGTGGCCCCGTGCCATTGAGAGGTGGCCTGCTGGCTGTGTCGGTGGTTCTGTCCAACTCCGCTGCCATGCTGTTGTCTGTGGCCTTCATTAACATGCTCAAGGGCTTCTTGCCAGCAGTTTCGTGGTGCTCTGAGCTCAGAATGGACGCGTTCGACACGGCTGAGGTGGAAACTCGGTTTTTGCCTTGGCACTGGGTCTCGTCATTGGCACGCTCCTTGCCTAAAAGCGAAGCTTCGAAGGAGGTCCTTCAGTTTGCTTTGCAGTAGCTTCACAAAGAGCCCGCTGTCGTCATGCTTGGCTTTTCGAAACCACTCCCTGCAATGTGCAGTAAGCTCGAGTCAGCAAGGCTGCGAAAGCGTAAGCGAGAGCTTGCTGTGCTTTCTTTGGCAGAACTCAGCAGCGAACAATTTAGCTGTCGAACCAACAGTTTTCTTGCCCACAAATGACCTTCCAAAGATGATCACAGAGAAGTCCGGCTGGTTCGCACCTGTATATAGTTGTGTGATCGCGAAAGCCGCCGAATCCCAGGACAGTCTTAACTCAAGTCACCAAGTCACCACTAAACCCTAAACCCGGAAATCTCGGAGCAAGGACCAGCTGGTCCACAGCTCTGCAGCTCGGTTGGCCCGTGCTGATCATCTCCATCGGGGCCCGGGCCCTGAGCCCTTCGGCGACCTTGTCGTCCGTGGGCCGGGGGATCAGCAGCGATGTGTGCATATTGCAAATTATGTATATATATATATATCTATATCTATCTATATCTATGTATCTATGTATCTATGTATCTATGTATGTATGTATGTATGTATGTATGTATGTATGTATGTATTTGTGTATATATATATATATGCGCTCACCCCCCCCCCCTCCCCCCGCATGACAGACCGTTGTGGGAAGGGGAAGGGTGGTGTCCGTC